GAACTGCATGAGGAACTGTGTGAGGAACCGCAGGAGGAACCGTGAGGAACCATGTGAGGAACTGCGTGAGGAACCACGGGAGCAACCGTGGGAGGAACTGTGAGGAACCGCGGGGGGAACCGTGAGGAACCGTGTGAGGAACTGCGTGAGGAACCGCGGGAGGAAACCGTGGGAGGAACTGTGAGGAACCGCGGGAGGAACCGTGAGGAACCGTGTGAGGAACCGCGTGAGGAACCGTGTGAAGAACTGTGGGAGGAACCGTGAGGAACCGCGGGAGGAATTGTGCTGGGAGTCGGACATGCTGTGTCGGGAAATCTGTGGGAACCGCATGTGAATACACGTGAAGAATCGTGAGAAACTGTATGTGGACCGCGTGAGGCACCGTGGGACTTTGTGTGAAACGGCGTGGGGATGGTGTGAGGGATCTCTGAGGAGCTGCGTAGAGGGCTGTGCGAGGAACTGCGGTCTGTGAGAGGCACCATGTGAGCAACCTCTGGGGATCCGTGTGGGGAGTTGTCCAGGGCACCTGCATGAGGAAGCGTATGAAGTGGGGAGTGATGCGTGAAACGCCGTGAAAGAACCGTGAGGAGCTGCGTGGACGGTGTGAGGAACCGGGCAAGAGCTGTATGGAGAACGTGAGCAACTGTGCGACTGCGTGTGTGTGACAGCCTGAGGCGTGAGGAGCTCTGAGGAACCGTGTGGGAAACTGTGGGGAAGCGTGAGGAACCGTGGGAAGGACTGTAAGGAACCGTGTGAGGAGCCACGTAGGAAGCGTGTGGGGAGTGGTGGTGTGGATGGTGTGTGCAAAAGTGGTGACTTAGGAGGGGAACTGTGAGGCGTTAGTGGAGAAGCGCGTGAGAGAGAACTGCGCGGAACTGCGCGAGGGACTCTGTGGGGACCTGAGGGCACTGGGAGGAACCGTGAGAGGAAACGTGTGACAGACTGAGGAACCGGGAGGAACTGTGTGAGGAAAGCGCCGGGAACTACGGGAGAGAGCGAGAGGAACACTCCCGGGGCCTATAAAGAGCCGTGCGGGAACGGCACGCGGAAGTGTGCGGAAGCGCGTGAGAAGGTGTGCGGGGAGCTGGCTGTGTGAGGAATTCTGGGGAATAGCGCGTGAGAGTGTGTGGACGCGTGTGAGGGGACCGTGAAGAACGGGGCGCGAACCTGTGTGCGGAGCTTCGTGGGAAGCCAGGGAAGGACGGTGTGACGAACGTGCGAGGAACCGTGAGAGAAGCCGAGGGTGTAAGCGGAGAGCTGTGAGGCGCTTCGTGGAGCCGCAAGAAGCGTGTGGAATGGTGTGGGCGGACGGCGTGGGAAGCGTGTGAGAGACTCTGGAGGACACTTTTGGAGGGCGGTGCGGAGCTCTGGGACGACGGGGGGAGCCATGTTGGGGAGCGCGAGGAACCGGGTAGAACTGGGTGTGGGGGGCTGGGAGGACCGGAGAGAAACTGCGTGGCAAACCGTGATAGGCCGTGTGGGGAACTGTGTGAGGAATTGTGAGAAAACGTGCGTGAACTCTGGGAGACGGTGCGGAAGCGCGGGCGACACCGTGGGCAAGTGACCCGTGTGGGAACGGGCGGAAAACCGTGGGAAGGACAGGCCACGACCCCTCACACGGTTCTCTTCAGTTTCTCAGAGTCCCCCGCACGGCCTCGGTGCGGTTCATCACGCCGTTCCTGGCACAGCTCTGGGCACGCGCTCCCCTCCTAGTCAGCAGGAGAAGGGGTGTGCCTGAGGAGCCGCGAGGAACTTTCTGGGGCAGGGCACGCACGGTCTGTGGAACAGCCCGTGCCAGAGATTTGCGTGGAGGACCGCACGTGAGGCCGTGGAAAATCGCGCGGGGTCCGTGTGGGAGGTGCGTGTGCGGAGCCGGACGCGGCGCCGTACGGACCCTTCGGGAACCGCGAGGGACGGCGTGCACGCCGAGGAACCGCGTCGAAGCGTGTGGAGGGGGGCCGATACGAGGAGCCGTGTCACGGGCCGTGCGATGAGTCGTGCGGAAGCGTGTGGGGCGCTGTGGGAGGGAGGGGTGAGGGGCCGTGAGGTCCTCGGCGAGGCCCCCCCGGCAGCCGCGGTGGAAACTTGGGCAGGGATCGTGCGAGGGAGTTTTTGAGGACCAGGGCCCGGAGCAGGGGGCGTGGGGACACGTCCTCGTGAGGCGAGGAGGCCGGCGGAGGGCGGGGGTCCGACGTGAGGCCCGGAGGTCCGTGTCAGGCGCCAGTTGACCGCGGCTCAACGGGGCGAGCGGACGCGTTTCGAGCAGGGCTCGTGACGTCTGATCGAATCTGGCCCGCGCTGCTCGGGCCGCCGCACGAAGAGGAGACTGGGGACGGGCGGTCCGGTGCGGCCGCCCGGAGAACGGAAGTCGGCCTTGCGGAGACCCGGGTGCAAGATGACGGAGGCCGGGAAGGCGGGGGAGAAGGGGGAGCAGGGGTGGCTCTGGGAGATGCGGGAGCGGGAGCGATCGGGGGCTGCCGGCGGACGGAGCGAGCCGTGGTGGGGGCGCGGCGGAATCGAAGGGGACTCTGGGGGTCCCTGCTGAAGGGCCCGTGTGACCAGAGGGCGTCTACCGTGGGGACGAGGAATGTGACAAATGTGGCAGAGGGTTCGGCCTCGGGAATTAAATCAGCAAAAAACGAGGTAGAAATACAGTCTTCGTCCGTCGCGTTTCGAAGGAGAGCAAAAGGCCCTGGGTGCCGACGAGCTGCCGTGAGATGGGCCCTCAGACCCGCTCTCAGCGAAGCCAGCGCGGCCTCTCTGCGGGCTCTGATCGCGTGCCTCAAGAGCTTTCACAGTTAAAAACGATTTTTTCGTGTGTCTTCAGTTTTGAGGGAAAGAGACACAGAGCTTGAGCAGGGGAGGGGCAGAGAGAGAGGGAGACACAGAGTCCGAAGCAGCTCCGGGCTCCGAGCTGTCGGCACGGAGCCCGACGCGGGGCTCGAACTCAGGAGCCGTGAGACGGTGACCCGAGCCGAAGTCGGACGCTTAACCGGCTGAGCCGCCCCGGCGCCCCGGGCGCCCTCCGAGATCTAGGGGAGCGCCTCTTGGAAATCAGCCTGAAGAACAGCGACGGAGGAGCCTGCGTCTAGAGAAAAGGCACAGCCCTCGTGGTGGCGCCCGTGTGCGTCTCCCGGGAGGGCTCTGGGGGACAGGGCCGTGTCCGGTGGCCTCTGCAGGGGCTCAACAAATACTTTTAAGCAACTGTGTGCACGAACGAGGAGACGGTGGAAAGTAACTGGGTGCCCTCGGTCGGTGGACTCCCTCGTTCCATCAGCGGCGTCCCCAGGGAGCGGTCAGCGGTCTCCCTCAGTCAGTCCGTAAGCAGTGTCCACGGGGCGCGGTGCCCAGCGGCCGTCGCGTGGCCGGAGTCCGGGTTCCGGATGTCCTCTATCTGCCGGAATGGAGGAGGAAAGAGGCACAGGAGTAGGCGAGGGTGCGGAGGACGCTTCGTCCTGGGGCCGGCGGGCGGGGGCAGGAGCGGCTACCGAAGAAGGGGCCTGTGCCCTGGGCTGCAGGGCAGGGGAGGGAAGGTGAGTTCAGTGAGGGAGACACGTGAGCGACGGGCGTGGGCAGAGGCCCGCGTTGTCACGTAAAGCAGCGGGGCCTTTGCTGTTTAGTCAGCGGGACTGACGGTGGGGCCCGAGGAGGGGGCAGCGGGCTCAGACCGGCCCTTCGGACGGAGCAGAGGCGGGACACGCGGCCGTGTCGGGCTGCGTGGCCCAGACGCGCGACGGGACAGGCGAGGGAGGAACCCGAGGGATGTGCCTGGCAAGTCTGCTCCCAGCCCTGAGTGCAGGCGCCCGGGGGCAGCACCCTGGGGTTCCGGTGGGGAGAGGCCTTGAGAACCGGCCCGGCCCCGCCTTCCACACCAGCCTTCGGTTTGGGGGACCCACCCACAGACCCCGTGCTTTGCCCTGCCAGCTCCCTTCCCTTCTGGTGGGCTCAGGCTTCACCTCGAATGTTCCTCCCCCACAGAACAAGAAAAAGAAGAAGACCGATTTCATTCCCTACCGAGATTCCGTGCTGACCTGGCTGCTCCGGGAAAACCTGGGTGAGGCCTCTCGGGGTCGCCTATCCCCCCGGGGTTCTAACTTCCACCCTGGGCCGCCGTCCCGCCCTCCCTCCTGGGGAGGGGCGTCCAACCACCAGGAGGCCCCTCCCCCTTTCTGGGCTGAGGTCGAGGCGGACCTGGGGGGTCCTTCCGGAGGGCCCGGGCTGGTGGCCAGCGAAGGGCTGAGGAGAGCAAGTGCGGGGACGCAGCATGGCCCGCGGGGCCACAGGACACACACGCCTGTGCCGCTGCTCCCGCTTTAGGCCTGTGACACCCGGACCACGTCCCCCCACCCCCCACTCCGCGATTCCGGGGAGCCCTGCTTGCTTGCTGGGCTTTTGGGAGGTGCCACACGTCACGCCTTCTCCCTGAGTTCTGGGCCACCGAGAGACAGAGAGGGAGATGGAGACTGAAACGTTCCCAATCCCGATCCCTTCAACCCAAAAACAACCGTGGGGGTCCTCCCTGGCTACGTTTACAGCTCGGGAGGCCGACACCCAGGAAGGTAAACTGAGTCACGGGCTGACCCGGTGAACATAGGCAGCTGGGATCTACAGCCTTCCTCAGCTTCACGGCTGTGGTGTGGGGGCCCCGGCTGGCTGACCCTGCACCCCGGAAGCAGTCTGGCTGTTCCTCAGCTCAGACTAGCGATGGGCGCGCTCCGGCAGGCAGGTGAGCCCCACCGAGAGCGGACGGTATGTGCCAGGAATGCGTTTCTTCACCCGAGGCCAGGAAGGAGGCCTTTGCCACAGGGCGGGGGCCGGCCCCAGGGTTGGGACAGGGGGAGCCCCCCACAGCCCAGCCTGGCGCCCGAGCCCTTTAGGCTGTCACCTCACAGTTTGTGTGGGGGCCACACCCTGGGCACATGACTCCCGGGACACGCGTCCCTGAGGTCACAATGGAGAGGCCATCGGTCCCAACCCTGAGCGCGGACAGGCAGCCGTCCCGAGGGCTGCCCGGGCCGCTGACCCGACCGCGCCGATGGCCCAGCCCCTGCTCCGCTCAGAGCCTGCGAGTGATCCTTCGGCGTCTGAACTGAGGTCGAACATCCATTTCCTCGCGCAGTGTGTTACCTGATGCCGGGCTCCGCGCTGCCCCGGGCTGGGAATGTGACCTTAAATACCGAGAAAAATCTTCCAAATGAGGAAGATAGAAGTGAAAGAAATCATTGCACCTGGAGTTGAATTGAAACGAACGTTGACTTTCTCAAGAAATTATCCTGAGCGTGAGAGGAAATGCTCCTCTCTTCAGTGTGGGGAGGGAAGACTGGTGGTTGAGAATAAACCCAAATTCGAGCAAAGCACTCTGCGGGAGAAAAATGACCGAGGTACCCGCCGCGGTGATGAAGTCAGGCCCCCCGTTCCCACAGTCGGCCCGTGACGCAGTTTACCTCTCTGAGCCTTGGCCTCCCCAGCTGTACATGCAGGCGGGGAGGGGCAGGAGGGTGGGGGGAGGAGCCCCTGCGACCTGGCCTTCTTCCCGCAGGCGGGAACTCCAGGACCGCGATGGTAGCGGCCCTGAGCCCTGCAGACATCAACTACGACGAGACTCTGAGCACGCTGAGGTGTGTCCTCCAGGGAGGTGGGCCCTGTCCCCCGCCCCCCCAACCCCGGCAATGGGACTTGCTCGCTCGTCCCTGGGACCACAGGCCCAGACGCGAAGGCCCCGCCACGGGGAGAAGATACCACCCTGTCCCTGCTCCTCCTGGGGACTCAGTTCCCCCGAAAGGGGGCAGGGTTAGGTGAGGCCCCCTGTGGGTCTCTGGCCAGTGGCCCCACTGACTCCAAGTGGCATGAGCCCCTGCCCTGTGTCACAGCCCCTGGGTCCCTGCTACTGAGGCCCTCCCCACCACGGCTCTGCCCCGGGCAGGGCTCCGGGTGCCCTCGGGCCTGCCCGGCACGGGCACAGCCCACAGTTCCCTTGGCCGTCCAGGTACGCCGACCGGGCCAAACAGATACGCTGTAACGCCGTCATCAACGAGGACCCCAACAACAAGCTGATCCGTGAGCTGAAGGACGAGGTGACCCGGCTGCGGGACCTGCTGTACGCCCAGGGTCTCGGGGACATCACCGACAGTGAGTGTCTGTGCCCGCCTGTCCTGGGCAGGGCAGCCGGGCCAGAGTGGCCTCCCTCCTGGGGACGGCCACCCGCTCGCTGGCTGCGGCCCGGCCGGGACCGGTCAGGCGGCCTTTGTGGCCTCGCCACCGGAATCCTAGCCCCGCTCTGAGTCCCCGTGCGAGGCCCCCCCCCCCCCCCCGGCGGGAGGCTGGGGTTTCCGTCCTCGACCCGGGTGGACTGCATGGTTCGGGTTTGGAGCTGGCCCAGGCAGGCCACGGACGTTTTTCCCGGAAGCCACATGGGCAGGCCGTGGGCGCGGGGGGTTGCAGCGGTCTCCGTGCGTCCCCCGAAGACCCCCGCCACCCTGTCGGGTGCCCGGCCTGCGACCGGCTGCCTCAGACCCTCTGGAGACAAACCTGTTCTGTTTCTCTGTCTCTCCTCCTCCCCCACGCCTCCCCTCCCCATAGCCAGCACTGTGCCCGGAGGACCCAAATGTGTGTATCCCCCTCACTGCTCTCTGCATCCCCGCTTCTGTGCCTGCTCGGCGGGGCATAGGGCAGCACGGCGGGGCATAGGGCAGCACGGCGGGGTGTAGGGCAGCACGGCGGGGAGGGGGAGGGGCCCGCCCGCCCAGCCCTCCTCTGCCTTCCCCTCTTTCAGGGGCTGGGGACAACAGCCGTCTTGTTCGCAGACACCCTCTAGGTGGATGCAGGCCATGCTGCCTTGTGAGCCTGCGTTCCGGGTTCAGTCCCGTGTCTGTGTGGGAAACTGAGGCCACAGGGAGGCCTGGTGCAGTCGAGGCCCTGCCAGGCCGGAAGTGACTGAACTCGGCCTGTCCGAGCGCCCCGCAGTGCCAGAGGCCTGGCGAGCTCGGAATGTTAGCTGGCACCGGAGGGCCGGGAGAGCTGGAGGGCCCGCCGAGGCCCGGGGCCTGTCCCCTGGCTCCCGGCTCCGGCCTCCCCCAGACCACACCGCACACACCTTCCCCTGGAAGCGCCCGTGTGCCCTTCTGGCCTTGGGCCTGGCTCCCTGCGGCATGGACATGTGGTTTGGTGCCTCCCCGACCCAGGGGCCGCAGGGTGCCCTCGGTTGCCCCAGCGCCCCGTGCTGTCCTATGTTTGCCGCTGCTCTGCTGTGTGTCTGCTTCTGCCAGGAGGGCTCTGGGCATCTCCCGTACCAGGGGTGGCCTAGCTCAAATCCCAGGCCTCGGGCTCCCCGGGCACCCCAGTGCCAGGAGACCCTGGTCCCAGAGCAGGCTCTTCGGGGTGCAGGAGTGACGTGCTCCCTAGGGGGTTCCCAGTTCACCTCTCCTCCAGGGTGTTCTCGGGGCGGATTCCTGTGCCCGGTGGGGCTGGACAGTTAGCACAGCGCAGTCCTCGCAGCTGGGGGGTGCATGGCCGACCAGGCGGGTGATGGGTGCCAGGGGTGGGCGCCCATGGCGGGCAGGATGAGGACGGGTGTCGGGGCCCCGGGCGTAGGAAGGCCGCAGGACGGCGCCAGCACAGGGTGGTGGATGGGGTGGGGGGTGCGGGGAAGGCCGCTCCCGGACAGAGGCCGCCGGGCGGCCTGGGAGCAGGCGCGGGGAAAGCAGACGGGCCTCAGGGCCGGGCAGGTGCGGAGGGTAGAGGCGCTCGAGCGGGTGCCGGGGTGCTGGGCGGGCTCGGGGGGCCGCGCCCTGGCGGGAGGTGGTGGGCGGCCGTGCATGTGCTTGTGCGGCGCTGGGCCCCAGGCTGCACCCGCCGGCCGTGTCTGTTTCCTGCCTCTCTTCACCTGCCTCTTGCTTTTTCCCAACTTGGTCTTTCTTTTCTCTCCCTCCCGTCTGTCTGCCCGCCCTCTCCTTCCCTTCCTCCCGTAGACGTGTCCGACCTTGAGAACAATAACCGTAACCGTGGCGGGGCGGAGTTGAGTCCAGCCCCTGACAATCTCTCCACAGTGACCAACACCCTGGTGGGCATGAGCCCCTCGTCCTCGCTCTCGGCCCTGTCCAGCCGCGCCGCCTCCGTGTCCAGCCTGCACGAGCGCCTGCTGTTCGCCCCAGGCAGCGAGGAGGCCATCGAGAGGCTGAAGGTGAGGGCTCGGCCGGCAGGGACGCCACCCCCGGGGCGGGGACGGGGCGGGCCCGGGACCTCTCCCGCTGGCACGGCCGGCCGTGCTAACGGCGCGGGGTGGGCCGGCTCGGAGGCGGAGCGGCCGCACGGATGGGTGCAGACGGGGTCTGGGCCCCACCCCCGGTGCCCCCACTGGCGCCCAGCACCGAGGGGTCCCCGCCTGCTGAGCAGGGCGGGCGCGGGTCCTGGGGGTTCTGTGCTCACACCCGCTCGGAGTGTTCCCCTGGCCCGCAGCGGCCCAGCGGTGGGCGGGCTGCCTTTTCGTTTATTGGCGTTCCGTCAGCGGATGACTGGGGTGCCGGGCTGTGTGGGGCTGGGGGGGGGGGGTCCAGGCCTCGGAGACAGAAGCACGGAGGCTGGACAGAGGCTGGACCGTGGCTGGCGTGGGGCACGGGTGGGGCAGGCTGCCCACCGGGGGGGCAGCTGGGAAGGTAACTGGGAGCTGGTGCGGATGTCAGAAGTGCTCGTCCCCTGTCCCGGCAGCGGCTGAGGGTCACCTGTGCCTCGGAATCAGTTTCTCAGTGTCCCCACGTGTCTCCCAGGGTCCCACATGTCTCTCAGTGTCCCCATGTGTCTCCCAGTATCCCCGTGTGTCTCCCAGGGTCCCCGTGTGTCTCCCAGTGCCCCCGCGTGTCTCCCAGGGTCCCCCTGTGTCTCAGTGTCCCCACGTGTCTCCCAGGGTCCCCACGTGTCTCTCAGTGTCCCCACGTGTCTCCCAGGGTCCCCATATGTCTCTCAGTGTCCCCACATGTCTCCCAGGGTCCCCATGTGTCTCCCAGGGTCCCTGTGTGTCTCCCGTGTCCCAGGTATCTGTC